TAGTGGCTGCGTCGTGCTCGTGTCGGTCGCTGTCCCACCCTGCCCTCCTCTGGCACCACCGCCTTGGTCACCCGTCCCTCTCTCGTCTCCGCGCTATGTCCAGTCAGCGTCTTGTCTTAGGCCTCCCCCGCGACCTCCCGCCGCTCCCGCCGTCCCCCGCTCCTCCGTGCGGTCCTTGTGTCCAGGGTCGGCTGCGCGCCACTCCTCACTCCTCCCTTCGTCCAGCCTCCGAGCCCTTTGAGACACTCCACTTAGACGTCTGGGGCCCCGCTCGACGGCTTGGACCTGAGCGAGAGAGCTTCTTCCTAGTGGTCGTTGACGACTACTCTCGGTACACCACCGTGTTCCCTTCGGCGAAGAAGTCCGACGTGACTTCTACGCTGATCCGGTGGCTGCTCGCCACCGAGAGTACTCGTCGTCGTCGTGTCAGTTGTCTCCACTCCGACCGTGGGGGTGAGTTTCGCTCCGGCATTCTCGCCAGATTCTGTGCTGAGCAGGGCATCACCCAGTCCTGGACTCTTCCAGACTCTCCACAGCAGAATGGGGTTGCTGAGCGCCGGCTAGGCCTGGTCATGGAGATTGCCCGCACCTCCATGATCCACGCCCGCGCGCCCCATTTTCTGTGGCCCTACGTGGCTCGGTACGCCGCTCACCAGCTGAACCTCTGGCCTCGCGTCTCTCGTCCAGGGGCTTCACCGACCAGTCTTTGGACAGGGTCCCCTGGTGTTGCGTCGAGGTTTAGTGTCTGGGGCTGCTTGGCGCTTGTCCGCGACACCTTTGCGGACAAGCTCTCACCTCGCGGCGTCCCCTGTGTCTTCCTTGGTTTCCCTGAGGCCTCCTCTGACTTCACCTTTTACCACCCTCCCTCCCACCGGTTCTTTGACTCTCGTGACGTCAGTTTTGACGAGTCCGTCCCCTACTTCGTCCAGTACCCCTGTCGAGGTCTCCCGGTTCCCCCCCCTCCCCTCTTCCTCGCCCCAGCTCCTCCTCCTCTCGCTCCCTCTCCTCCGGTACCCCCCCCGGTTCCCGCTCCGTCAGGTGTGTCGCAGGCTACCCCCCCTCCCTTGGTCCCCCCCCCAGGTCTCTCCTCCTTCCCCACAGTCGTCCTCACAGCCTCCGCAGCAGCCGTCGGCGCTTCCTCTCCCGGCCACTGCGGACTCTGAGTGTGTTGGTGCTCGAGGTGATGGCTGTGGCAGTGCTGGTTCTGGGGGTGTTGGAGTTGGAGCTGAGCGTGCACCTGCAGCAGCTGCACGTCCCGAGCGTGTTGGAGTCGGTGGTGGTGCTGGAGCTGGTGGTGTTTCTGGAGCTGGAGAGTCTGGGGCTGGTGCTGGTGCCACTGGCGGCGCCACGACTGGGGGTGCGGGTACACCTCCTACAGGTACTGGTCGTGCTGCCGCAAGGGGTCCTCGCTCTGGGGGTGCTCAGCCGGGTCCTGTTGAGGGTGGAGCCGGTTCTTCTTCGTCGTCTCCTGACACCACTCCTCCTCCTCACCCCTAACCGTCTCGTTACCAGGCCCTTCGTCGTCTAGAGCGTGAAGAGCAGCACCGTTTGGAGCGTGAGAGGTCGGAGATTCAGCAGCGGGTGGAGCGTGAGCGGTTGGAGTTTCAGCAGCAGCAGCAGCAGCCGCCGCAACTACCGGAGCAGCCTCCGGCCCCTGTTTCTGGCCTTCGGGCCCTTGGTCTCCCCTCCTCTCCTCCTATGTTCGGTCCCACGTTTCCTCCTCCAGACTCCACTCCGGCTGTCTTCCCTCGTTCTCAGTCTCCTCCGTCCCCCCCTCCTCTCGCCCACACTTGGGCCTCTCGCCCTCCTCGTGCTCGTCCCTCGTCCCCTGTCACTGACCTCCGTACTGTGTTGTTTCGTCCTCGTCCTCCTCGTTCTCCTCCGTCTGTCCTTCCTCGTCCTCCTGAGTCTTCCCTCACTGCCTCCCTGTCCACTCCGGTCACTGACTACTACCGCACGTACCGCCCCACTCTCTCTCGTGTTCTCGCCTCTCTTGTTACAGACCCTCGTGCCTCTCCTTCCTCCGTCGCGGTCCTCACTGCCGCTGTCACTGACTTTACTGCTATGCGTCGCCTTGACTACGCCACTCGAGTTGTGGCAGCTCCTCCTGTCCGTCCTCTGTCCGCCGGGGGTGTGTGTGCCCTTAGTTGTGACGTCCTAGAGGACAGACAGTTTGAGCTAGATTTACGGGCAGCTGCTTCGCCTCATCTCTGTGCCATGCTGCTCACTCCTGAGGGAGACCCCGACGCTCCTGACATACCTAATCCTCGCACTTACGCTGAGGCAGTGTCAGGGCCTTGGGCCTCTCAGTGGAGAGCTGCCATGGACGCAGAGATGGCCTCCTACAGGTCCACAGGCACTTACGTTGACGAGGTTCCCCCCCCAGGGGCGAACATTGTTGACGGCATGTGGATCTTCAAGGTGAAGCGGCCGCCGTGATCTCCCCCAGTCTTCAAGGCACGCTACGTGGCTAGAGGGTTCAGTCAGCGCGAGGGGGTTGACTTCTTTCAGACCTTCGCGCCCACCCCGAAGATGACCACTCTTCGGGTGTTACTGCACGTAGCAGCGCAGAGAGACTACGACCTACACTCTCTTGACTTCTCCACTGCCTTCCTCCAGGGCTGCTTACACGAGGAGATCTGGCTGCGTCGTCCTCCGGGCTTCACTGGCACTTTCCCGCTTGGGACCCAGTGGAGCCTCAGACGACCGGTCTACGGTCTCCGCCAGGCACCCCGTGAGTGGCACGACACTCTCCGCTCTACTCTCTCCGACCTCGGGTTTGAGCCGTCTTCCGCCGACCCGTCGCTGTTTGTTCGTCGTGGCCGTACACCTTTCTTCGTCCTAGTCTACGTTGACGACTTGGTTTTTGCCACGGCCGACACAGCTGCACTGGCGGAGGTGAAGTCCGAACTGCAGAAGAGACACACCTGCACTGACCTTGGGGAACTGCGCCGCTACCTTGGCCTGCAGATCTCCAGGGACAGAGCCGCTCGCACCATCACTCTCACTCAGTCACACATGGTGCAGCAGGTTCTTCAGCGGTTCGGGCTTCAGGACTCTTCTCCTGCCCCCACTCCTCTTGCTGTAGACCACAGACTCACTGGGCCTTTTCCTGACGAGCCGTTCGAGCCCAGTGGTCCCTACGCAGAGCTGGTGGGCTGCCTCATGTACCTGATGACGTGCACTCGCCCGGACCTCGCCTTCCCCCTTAGCATCCTGTCTCGCTTTGTTGCGACTGTAAGACACCGTCCTGTTCACTGGGCGGCGGCTAAGAGGGTGGCGAAGTACCTTGGCGCGACATCAGGCATGGGGCTTGTACTTGGAGGGACACAGTCAGTTGTACTCACCGGTCACTGTGACTCTTCCTACGCTGACGACGTTGAGACTCAGAGGTCTACGCAGGGTTACTGTTTCAGCCTGGGTTCTGGAGCTGTTTCGTGGAGGTCTACTCGGTCCTCCTCTGTTGCGACCTCTACCGCAGAGGCCGAGATCTACGCTGGGGCCCTTGCTGCTCAGGAGCTACGCTGGTTGACCTTTTTGCTCACTGACCTTGGTGAGCGGCCGAGCTCTGCACCGACCCTGTTTGCTGACAACAGGGCGATGATTCTCCTGTGTCGTGAGCCTCGACTGGAGAGCCGAGTGAAGCACATCGACGTCAGGTACTTCCTCCTTCGAGAGTTGCAGAGACGCGGACAAGCTCGTCTGGACTTTGTGGCCTCCGAGGCCAACACTGCAGACATCTTCACCAAGGCCCTCCAGCCTTGAGACCACCGTCGGTTTTGTCTGCAGTTAGGCCTCGTTGAGACTGGGTCTAATTGACTGCTGTAGGGTGCTCTTTGTCTGTTGCTTGCTTGTACCTTATATATATGTATATATATATATATTTGTTTGCACACTTTTGGACTGGCCTTGTGGCCCTTTGCTTGTGCTCAGATTAGGTGGTGACGTTGTGATCCACCCTGAGCTTTGTTTGTCTTGCTCTTATTTTTGACTGGTCTTGTGACCGTAGGTTGCTTGTTGTTGATTGGCCTTCCCCACTTAGGCTATGGGGGTGTGTCAAATATTATAGCCTGTAGTGGGTTGGGCTATATGGGGTACAACTAGTTAGGGTTAGGTGATGTACCCCAATTCTGTCAACACAACTCATTCCGCTGTAGTTCTCATTCTGACAACTAGACATATAATTACCGTAATCTCCCGGACAAAACACCCCCCCATGATAGTACACCCCCGGGTAGCTTGTGCGGGGTGGGTGCTATGGGCGACCTCGTTTCTACTATACCCCCCTTTTTGGATGATTTTCTATAACACCCCCCTTTTCTTACGGATTCCTATTATAGTTGTTATCGAGTCTGATTCCTTACAGGGGAATATCGCGAGAATTGCTTCCTAAATGAAATTTCGCGCGTACTTGCACTTAGAATCCGCCAACATTTCCCCCTCCCACAATCTCACTGTCGCCACCCTGGCGAATCTTTCGCTGCAAGTGGACATTTCCCCCATCCCACATTCTAGGAAGTTGCCACGCTGGCGAATCTTCCGCTGCAAGTGGCCCGAAAGGTGAAACTCACATTCTTGCCAAAACTCACATTCTCGCCTCAAACTGTGATGTTAAAACGACCATTGAAACACCCAAACTGTCTAATTTGAGAATCCTCTTGCATTAAAATATACCATATATAACCACCCGGGTATTATATAGGATTTTCCGTTGAGAGGACCCCCCCCCTTTTTTCCCTGTGGTTATCATAATACCCCCGGGTGTTATGTCCGGGAGAATACGGTATATAGGAATAACACATTCTGACACTTCGCCACTCGTGCACCCCTTATTAATGCACAACATTTTCTTCGCTCCTCCAGTGCAGCACAGCCATGCCCTATCTGAACCGAAGCCTGCATAGCTAAGCAGATAATAAGTTTATTACTACACAAAACAAGCCATTTCTCAAATGACCAACAGGAACAAGCTGGCCAGAATAGAACCCAAAACAGCACAATCAATCACGGCGGTTGTTCTGGTTGCTAGGAGCAGCAGACCACCCAAACGCACTCCCCCCCTCCTCCCCTCCATCCCACCCCCCTGCACCCCACCCACTCCCCCCGCCACCACTGCCGCTGCTTGCACTACCACTGCTGCCACTGCCACCGCTGCCAGTCAGCCCCCGGATATCCCTCCAGATCTTCTTAGCAGTCGCCAGCACATCGTCCCACTCTAGCTTGTCGAGGAGCACGCTGTGATTGGTCCAGATGGAGTAGGTGATTGCGGAGATAAGGCCGAGCCAGACGAGCATCGGGAGGTAGAGCAGTGAGGCGACGGGCGAGGCTCGGTAGAAGGCAAGGAAGGTGGAGAGGGAGGAGACGGTGAGGGCGCCTGGAGGAGGAGGGAGGGGAGGGGAGGGAGGGGAGAGGATGGGAGGGGACCATGACCAGGGTAAAAGACATGAAGCTGAGAAACGGCGAGAAGTGAGGCGAGGGGAAAGGCGAGAGGAGCGGTGAGGGGAGAGGCGAGGGGAGAGGCGAGGGGAGAGGCGAGGGGAGAGGCGAGGGGAGAGGCGAGGGGAGAGGCGAGAGGAGCTGTGAGGGGAGATGCGAGCAAGAGGCAATGCGGTGGAAGGAATGAAATGGAGGTGAAGGAGATGAATGGAGGAAAAATGTGCATTGCATTTACAAGTAACGACTGAGATTGGCGCTTGAAAATCCCGTTTAAAGTTCACAATGGTGCCTTACGTCTCACCTTTGCGAAGGAGTTGACGGAGACGAATGGAGTAAAATTGCGTTGCATTTCCAATTTCAACTCATATTGGCGCTTATATCCCGTTCACTGGTGCCTTCCCTGCCCTTCTATTCCGTAAGAGTTCTGAGCTTGACAACTGGAGAGTCCCATTTTTCAGTTCCATACTTTCCTTTCACAAGGGCTGTATGCTGCACCTCTCCCATTACCTGCCAGGGAGCCAATCTTCTTCCCGCGAAACATAACAATTCGCCACACCAGCCCCCCAGACCAAATAACGCCTTTCGCCCAGCCACGGCAGCACCTCTAAACCGTACCTTACCTCCCACCCACCCATTAGCCCCCCATACCTGCAACTGCAGCCGCCGCGTCGATCTTCTTCAGACGGAACATGACGATTGGCCAAAGAAATCCAACGGCTAATTGCACCAAGTAAATCTCCATCGCACCGCGCTGCCTCGCCCATCCGCCTTGCCGCCAAACCATCCACGACGCCGCGCCAGCTGGCAGCTGCAGCACCGTCCACGTGGCGGCCATCAGCCAATCGGACGGCGCGAAAGAGGGAGGGTTCAGGCTGCGAAACCACCGGTACGCGTCGCGTTCCCCGAAGCCCGCGGCGGCGAACGCGGCCGCGGTGGCGGCGACGGGAATCACGACCGCCGCGGTGAGCGGAAGAAGCTGGCGCGCGAGAGCAGGGAGCGTGTTGCTGGCGGGCGGAGAGCGCGTGGCGGCAGCGGCGCCGGAGCTGGCGGCGGCGGCAGCGGCCGGGGCGGCGGAGGGCACGATAGGCGCGGGAGGCGCGGAGCCGAACTTGCCCAGGTACTTGGCGCTGACGACGAGACGGCGGGAGGCGCCGTGCCGAACCGGCGCGCAGGGGGAGGACGGCGCGCGGACGCCGCTTTCGCGCGAGAGGGGAGTCGAGGCGCGAGACACGGACGCAGCGGACGAAAGTGCCGCGGCCGCAGAGTACGCGGAGCGCGCGGAATGCGTGGAATGCGCGGTGGCGACGGGCATTACGCTTCGAGCGGAGGTTGACGGAGTCCGTTGGATTGCCGCATGGTGGAAATCTGTAACGAAATTCGCGGGAATTCGTCCCGATGTGAGGGAAGCCGCGGAAGCCATAACAAGCAGTGGGGGCAAGCAGTCGTCTTGATGATATGTAGATAATTAGGCCGGGACGGAGCGCCGTGCTCGAGGTGCTAATAGTTCGCCCACCGCCAAAATCTGCTGCAGAACAAGGAAAGAACAACAATAGGTGCACACAGAGGCGGACGTGAAGTCTAGAACACATAGACATCCAGTCCAGATATTTGGTCCAGTTGGAAATTGTGCCGTGCAGAGGTTGGGTGCACACAGTCTTGCGCAGATGCCAAGCCAAATGTTGGTGCTTCTCAGTGAAGTCGGGGGAGGGGGAAGAACGGGGGGACTCGATGCGGGAGAAAAACGGCATTTTGCGCCACATTCGCAGCGTGTGAGGAACATTGTACGCGCGAGAAGGTCCTCGATACAGATATTTACAGCTCCCGGAAGGGTGCTTGTAAGGAATTTTCTCGGCATTCCTTACGGAGCCCGACTACATCGCGTACAGCAACAGCTGTTGTTAGCCCGTTACTGCTAACGGGACTTCGCCAACTTCGCGCGCACTGTTTTGCCAAACCTCGCACTGCTAAACCCTAACAAGGTTGTACTCGCTATAGAGCACCCCACTACAGGCTAGATAATAACATTCTGACAACATCGACGTCACGACTCTCACGCATGAGCACTTGAACGATCTGCTGCGACAAATCCGCGAGAGCGCCTAGGAAATCGCGATGCTGACGGCAGAACGCTCGTCCCTGCAAAACGACCTCACACGGGCACAATCCCAAGCACCTGGCACTCCGATTCAGCCCGCACCACAAACATCACAGCACGGAAATGTAGGGCAACCCGCGAGCGCCGCAAGTGATGGCGTCGTCCGCCATGACGGAGACGACGACCACGTCACGACACACCTCGACGCGACGAATGCGGCCAGGACTCAGCCTCAAGTCACGATTTCAGTGCCGGCCTGCGGATCAACTCTTCCGTCGCCGATGCCGCTAAAGCCGCAGCGTCCGCCATGCTTCGACCCAAGTCAGCGGGCTGGTCCTACCGTTCAGGCGTGGCTCTTCACGTTGAACGGTTTCTTCGACGCGAGCTACGTCTCGGAGGATACGGCGAAGATTCGTTACGTCGTGTCGTTGCTGCGAGGACCCGCCATGGACTGGTGGCGCGTCATCGTCACGAAGCCGGCGGACTACGCGACTCTACCGACAAGGGAAGGACAAACCGGACCCTGGGCGCCGTCATATTTCGTGGAGGTGCCCCAGTATCGCACGTGGGACGCGTGGTGCGCAGGTCTGCACGCTCGTTTCGAGCCAATCGCGGCTTCGATCGTGGCGCGACAAAAGCTCCGCACTTGGCGCCAACTCGGTTCCGTCCAAGACTACACGAGCAGATTTCTGGCGCTATGCGAGCAGGTGGGATATATGCACGAGAGCGAGCGCATCGACTGCTACATCGGCGGCCTGAAGCAGGACATCGCTCAAGAAATCCAGCTTCGCGGCGTCACCGATTTTCAAGAAATTATCGCTATGGGGGAGAAACTTGATTTCTTCCGCCGACTGAGACCGGGGTCCTACGGAAGCAGCCATTTGGGACATGGGCCTCGTGGAACGAACGAGGGCGCCAGGATACGTGTCGTCCCCGCAAATGCCGCTGCCGCACCGTTCAAAGGGCGCTGCTTTGCGTGCAATCGGCCGGGACATCGCAAGAACGAATGCCCGGAAAACGCTAAGGGAAAGGGGGAAGCTGAGCAGCAGAAACAGACCAAGCAGCAGGGAAACGCTGGGAGTCAGTAGCAGACGGGCCCTCTACTGACAGGTCACGCCGCTCGCCCAACCCAACCGACCCTCACCAAGTGATTGTGCCGGTTCACGCAATCGACCACACCCGGCCGAATAAGGAGGGTACTACGGTAGACAGCCCCATACTGCTTAGTGGGAAAATCGGGACGGACTTAGTAAAAATCTTCGTAGACGGGGGAGCCAGCCACAGCCTCATCAACACTGCCACAGCACCAAAACTGCGACTGCCACTGGACAGATGTTTACCTGAGATCGACGCAAGACTGGTAGACGGCACGCCGCTGGCGATACGGGAACGCGTAGACCGGGTTCGGATTCGATGTGGGGGTAACTTCACGTTTAGCCAGGAAATGCTCGCAACGACCCTCGACGGAACCGATATTTTACTCGGGCGTGATTGGCTGCGACGACACAATCCGCGAATCGACTGGACGATGGGTGACTGCACCGTGCGAGTGAACGGTAACAACATCGCCTTACCTCGCTGGGGCTCACCTTAGTCTTCGTCGGTGCGTGTCAACGCGATCACAATGAAACGCGCCGTAGCGGCAGGGGCTGATGTGTACGCGAAGCCGAGGGAGCAGACAAAGGAGGGGATTTACAGAACCTGCTGGCCGACATACCGAGTGATCTGGCAGCACTGTTAAAGTAGTACAGCGACATTTTCCCGGACGATTTACCGACAGGACTGCCACCTCAGCGACCGCACGACCACATGATAGAGTGAGAACCGGGGGCACAGCCAACAGTACAGCGACAGTCCCAACTGACCCAACCCGAAGTGGACGAACTGAGGAAGCAGCTCGATTACCTGCTTGAGAAGGAATTCATTCGCCCAAGTTCGTCGCCCTTCGCAGCACCGATACTGTTCACATCGAAAAAAGACGGGGGATTTCGCATGTGCATAGATTACAGAGCACTGAACAGGGTTACCATCAAATCCCGTTACCCCATCCCGCGAGCCGACGAACTGATCGACCAACTACGCACAGCCCGGGTTTTCTCGAAAATCGACCTCCGAGGGGGTTACCACCAGATTCACGTCAATCCGCCCGACTGCCCTAAGACCGCATTTCAAACACGCTACGGATCCTTCGAATACATCGTCATGCCCTTCGGACTGACCAACGCCCCCGCCACTTTTCAAATGACCATGAACGAAGCTTTCCGCCCGCTCTTAGATAAGTGCGTCATAGTCTACCTGGACGACATACTGATTTACAGCCCAGACAAAGTACAGCACTTACAGGACATCGAGGCAGTTTTTAAAATACTGAGTGAGAACCGCCTACTGACAAAAGCTTCTAAGTGTGAGTTTTTACAGGACCGCCTGGAATTTTTGGGACACGTTATCTTGTGAAGAAATGAGGAATGATTTACAAAGGGAAAGGTTGGGTACAAGTACAAACCCTAGAAATGTGTTGTACCCCATATGTGCTACCCCACTATAGCCTACATAGGCTAAGTCATATAAGTCTGACACACCCCCATAGGCAAAGTGGGGGAGAACAAGGGGTCACAAGACCAGTCAAGCAAAGCAAAGCAAGCTCAGGGTGGATCACAACGTCACCACACATTCCGAGCACAAGTTCAAGGCCACAAGGCCAGATCACATGCAAGATCATATATTAAGGTAAACAAGCAAGTGCAGGTATAGAAAGATCACAGTACAAGCAAGGTCAAGAAGTGAGCAAGTGAGGCCAAGTAGGCACAAGACTTAGCATCGTACAGCAGCGCTGATGATCACAAGGCGGAAGTGCCTTGGTAAAGATATCAGAAGTGTTGGCCTCAGGGGCCATGTAAGCAAGGCGCAGCTGACCACGCTGCTGTAGCTCACGAGCAAGGAAGTAGCGCAAAGCAATGTGCTTCTATCTGTGCTCCAGTCTGTGCTCCCGACACAAGGCCAGCATGGCCTTGTTGTCTACGTACAGAACTGGAGGAGAACGAGGCGGCTCTCCTAGGTCAGTCAGCAAGTAGGTGAGCCAGCGTAGCTCCTGTCCAGCCATGGCCCCCGCGTAGATCTCAGCCTCACAGCTGGAGCCGAGAACAGAAGACGAGCGGGTAGACCGCCACGAAACAGAGCCGGAACCAAGGCTGAAGGTGTAACCCGGTGACGACCGCTGCGTAGCCTGGTTGTCAGCCCAAGAAGCGTCTGCGTGACCTGTGAGGACCACTGAACGCCGCCCTCGAATCACTAGCCCCATGCCCGACGTACTGCACAAGTAGCGCAGCACCCTCTTCGCTGCAGCCATGTGCTCTGGTCGGTGTCTCCCAGGAGCAACATAGCGTGCCAAGATGCTAAGAGGGTATGCAAGGTCAAGTCGTGTGCAGGTCATCAGGTACATGAGGCAGCCAACAAGCTCTCGATACGGGCCACTCGGCTCTACGGACTCATCCGAAGGCAGAGCTGAGAGCAAGTGGCGAGTAGACAGAGGAGTGGCCTGAGGCGAGGAGTATGTGAAGTCGAAGCGCTGAAGGACCTGCTGCACCATGTGTGACTGAGTCAGGGTAATGGTGCGCTGTGCTCTGTCCCGGGTGATCTGCAAGCCAAGGTAGCTGCGCAGTTCACCCAGGTCTGTGCACGTGTGTCTCTTCTGCAGCTCGGACTTCACGTGGGCGAGTCCAGCAGTGTCACCAGTGGCAAAG